AGCCTCAGGCCCAAAGATGCATAAAGCATAAACTGCGGCCTCAGGCCCAAATACAGGTGTTCAACATTCAAGAATATAAAATCAGGAACTGAGAATCATATTACAATACATGATACTGAAATAATGAGCCATACTGGGTTACATGATACTGGAATAGTGAATAGGATTAGATGAGATGAGTATTCATAACAAGTTGATTTGTCATAACTGAAACTCATAGAATATCGAATGATTATGAGACTATGCCATCTAGAGAATAGAAGTCCTACTACTGATCAGGGAACTAAGGCATAGTTCCTTTCTGAGGAGACTGGTAATGATCATAATGAATGGGACGTAGGGAGAATCATAGACATTCCCAAACGTAAAGAGTTAGCCTTACATACCTTAACTTCCTGCTCTTGAGCGTAATACAACGTTTGTCAATCCTTTCAACTTCAATCTATAGCAATACAAGTCAAAGGGGTTCCACATTAGCTATAATGCTCATGTTTTGGTCACTTAAGCATTTTGTCAAACACTTGGTAAAAATAAAGCTTCATAGTCCTTATTAATGGTGTCTCTACACCCAACAACCCATTCTCTTGTTCCTAGATAAATTCCAAGGTCTCAAATGATTACACCAACATTATTCTTCATCACCCATAAGGCAAACAACACTCTTAACCAATAATCAACACTCAACACCCCAACCCTATAATCGTTCATGCTTTTCTATCAACCCCAACAACTCATGTCTTATGAACTAGGATTTATAATCATTAAACCAATGCTAGAATCAATTAGAGGGTGAAGACATTACCTTTTCGAAGTTCAAACCCTTGATTTTCGAGTTCTAGGCTTCCTTCTCTCAACAATGATGTCCCAATCGAATATCTAATGATATGGAGGGTTTAACCATGTTAATAAGAAGTTGGAAAAGTGAAATTAACTTAGAATCACCATTAGAACTTACCTTGGGTGGTGGAAGGACCCTTAAGGAGTTAGGTTTTTGAGAGTTCCCCTTTCTAGAGCAAGTTTTTATGTTTTGGGGCTGTGGGGGACGAAATATAGCTTTAAAACGACCCCCCACGCGCGAGTTCGCGCACCTGGAGGCTTGTTCGCGCGAGTGTTCGCGCTCAACAGCAGTAACACTGCCTCCCACGCGCGAGTTCGCGCACCTGGAGGCTTGTTCGCGCGAGTGTTCGCGCATACGCGTACTGTTCCGAAAAACGCACATAACTTTTTGCACAGAGATCCGTTCGGGCTCCATAATATATCGTTGGAAAGATATTTCAAAGTCCTACAACTTTCATGCTTTGCGTTTTCCCCAATTCCTTACACATTTTCACTAAAACTTGATGGAAGACAGACCTTCTGCAACTTAGTCGATTTTTGTCAAATCTTATGCACCTCTCTTTCCATTTTGATTTTTGAAACAACTATTTTATCCACAATCATCCCGTTGGGACTTCACATGTTCAAAATATAATCTTACCACTCATTTACCACATTCACACCTAAGCCGAATTTACGGGGTGTTACATTATCTCCCCCTTGGGAAATCATTCGTCCTCGAATGATGGTCCTGGTTGCAACTATGACTATCTATGGACATTAAACGGGTGTGATGATGATATGCGAATATTGAAATATCATGAATACATGTGTATCCAACTGAATGAGCACGTGATCACTAAATACTAAGCTGAGTAAATACTGAAGAACATGGAGATTATAATATAAGAACTGAATGGAAAGGTCAATTACCTTCCACATTTTCCTTTTGCCCTTCAAAGAGATGGGGATATCTGGACTTCATGTCCTCCTCGGCTTCCCATGTAGCCTCTTCAATCTTTTGATTCCTCCAAAACACTTTTACTGAAGCAATTTCCTTAGTTCTGAGCTTGCGAATTTGACGATCAAGAATAGCTACTGGAATTTCTTCATAAGATAGGCTGTCTTTAACCCCTATAACCTCTGTAGGAACCACAAGTGACGGGTCTCCCATGAATTTCATCAACATGGACACATGGAACACTGGGTGTACGACAGCTAGTTCTTGTGGCAATTCCAACTCATAAGCCACATGTCCGATCCTTCGCAGGATTCTATATGGACCAATATAGCGGGGACTAAGTTTCCCCTTCTTCCCAAATCTCATAACGCCTTTCATGGGCGATACTTTCAAAAACACCCAATCATGAACTTGGAAATCTAAGTCCCTACGCTGCACGTCCGGATAGGACTTTTGGCGACTTTGAGCCGTCTTCAAATGCCTTTGTATTAAGTTGACTTTCTCCATAGCCTGATAGACCAAATCGGGTCCTAACAACTCCGTTTCTCCGACTTCGAACCAACCAATTGGTGATCTGCACCTTCGCCCATACAAAGCTTCATACGGTGCCATCTTGATACTGGAGTGATAACTGTTATTGTAAGCAAACTCAATGAGAGGTAGATGATCGTCCCAACTACCTTTAAAATCAATAACACACGCCCTCAACATATCCTCCAGAGTCTGAATGGTGCATTCCGCCTGTCCATCTGTCTGAGGGTGAAAAGCGGTGCTGAGGTTCACCCTTGTGCCCAATCCCTTCTGAAAGGATTTCCAAAAGTTTGCTGTGAACTGCGCACCACGATCTGAGATAATGGACAAGGGAGTCCCATGCAATCGGACAATTTCTTTGATATACAACTTGGCATAATCCTCGGCCGAATCTGTAGCCTTTACTGGCAAGAAGTGAGCTGACTTGGTAAGTCGATCTACAATAACCCAAATCGAATCATGCTTCCAGAACGAGCGAGGTAGACCGGTTATGAAGTCCATGTTTATCATCTCCCATTTCCAAATGGGAATTTCTATATTCTGAGTTAAACCGTCAGGCCTCTGGTGTTCGACTTTGACCTGCTTGAAATTTGGACACTTAGCCACGAAATCTGCTATATTCTTTTTCATATCGTTCCACCAATAAACCTCTTTAAGTTCGTGAAACATCTTTGTGGAACCAGGGTGAATAGAATACCTAGAATTGTGGGCTTCTGAAATAATCCTCTCTTTGAGCCCATCTACGTTTGGAACACATAGTCTGCCTCTGTATCTCAAGGTACCATCATCTCTCCCTTGTTCAAAAGCCATAGTCTTGTGTTTGTGAATTCCCTCCTTCAGCTGCAATAAGTATGGATCACTGAACTGTTTTTCCTTCACTTCAGCTACTAAGGAGGATTCAGCCCTGTTCTGGAGAACAACGCCACTATCTTCGGAGTCCAAAAGTCGAACTCCTAGACTTGCTAAGCGGTGGACTTCCTTCACCATAGCTTGCTTGTCTGCCTCAACATGAGCTAAGCTGCCCATAGACCGCCGGCTGAGAGCATTGGCTACAACATTTGCTTTTCCTGGATGATAGAGGATATCAACATCATAATCTTTAAGTAATTCAAACCACCTTCTCTGACGTAGATTTAATTCTCTTTGCTTGAAGATGTACTGGAGGCTCTTGTGATCTGTAAAAATGTCAACATGTACCCCATACAAATAATGGTGCCAGATCTTAAGCACAAACACCACAGCTGCTAATTCAAGATCATGAGTCGGATAATTCTTCTCATGAGCCTTGAGTTGTCTCGACGCGTAGGCTATGACTTTACCGTGCTGCATTAATACACACCCAAGACCAACCCCTGAAGCATCACAATAAACAACGAACCCCTCGGTTCCTTCCGGTAGTGTCAGGACTGGAGCTGAAGTCAACCTCTTCTTTAGCTCCTCAAAACTTTTCTCGCACGCGTCCGACCATTGAACTTGACTTTCTTCTGAGTTAATCTAGTTAAAGGGGATGAGATAGAAGAAAATCCCTCTACCAAACGCCTGTAATAGCCTGCTAGACCCAAGAAACTTCTTATATCGGATACTGAGGTGGGTCTAGGACAATTCTTCACTGCCTCTATTTTCTGAGAGTCCACCTTCACGCCTTCCCCTGACATGACATGGCCCAAAAACGCTACTGATTTCAACCAGAACTCAGACTTAGAAAATTTTGCATATAGCCTGTGATCCTGCAGTGTCTACAACACAATTCTGAGATGTTCGGCATGGTCAGTCTCGCTACAGGAATAAATCAAGATGTCATCAATAAACACGATAACAAACAAATCAAGATAAGGCTTGAAGACCCTATTCATCAGGTCCATGAAAGCTGCTGGTGCATTCGTTAAACCGAATGACATTACCAAAAATTCGAAATGCCCATATCGAGTCCTAAAAGCTATTTTTGGAATATCAACTTCCTTAACCTTCAACTGATGGTATCCCGATCTGAGGTCAATCTTGGAATAACACTGGGCACCCTGAAGTTGATCAAATAAATCATCTATTCTGGGAAGAGGGTACTTGTTCTTGATGGTGACTTTATTCAACTGACGATAGTCAATGCACATACGCAAAGACCCATCCTTCTTTCGCACAAACAAGACCGGTGCGCCCCAAGGTGAGACACTTCGCCTTATAAATCCCTTATCTAGAAGATCTTTCAACTGGACTTTTAGCTCTTTCAACTCTGCTGGAGCCATTCTGTAAGGCGGAATAGATATCGGCTTATTGCCTGGAAGTAGATTAATTCCAAAGTCGATCTCTCTATCGGGAGGGATTCCAGGGAGATCTTCGGGAAACGCTTCTGGAAACTCATTCGCAATAGGTACCGACTGGAGAGTGGGGATTTGAGCATCTGCATCCTTAACTCGAACCAGGTGATAGATATATCCCTTGGAGATCATCTTTCTAGCTTTAAGGTATGAAATAAACCTACCCCTAGGTGTTACTGCATCACCCTTCCATTCTAAGACTGGTTCACCGGGAAATTCAAAACTTACTATTTTGGTTCTACAACCCACTTTGGCATAACATGACTCTAACCAATCCATGCCCATGATCACATCGAAGTCTAACATCTCCAATTCTACTAAGTCTGCTACAGTAAGACGATGACGCACTTTAACTGGACATCTCCTATAGATACACCTTGCTATAACTGATTCTCCAATTGGAGTGGACACTTCAAAGGGTTCACACAACCGCCTGCATTATTAGACTTTGCTGCGCCGCGCCCTTGCTGAGCCTGAAAGTTATGATGGGCTGCTGAATTAGTGGACTGAGCTACATTGCCTCCATTGTTCTGCTTTGCCGATGGATAATCCCTCAAGAAGTGGCCCTGCTGACCGCACCCAAAGCAACCATTTGTGCCCAAACGACACAACCCTGGGTGCCTCTTACCACACGTGTTGCAAATAGGATGACCAGGGACTCTATAGCGCACACTAGCGTGTGACTGTGAGTCTGCTGTTCTGAAATTTTGGTTTTTCTTGTTAAACTTTGACCTCTGAACCGGTGCATTAGCTGAAGAGGAGCGGGTCCTGATTTTGATTTCCTGAAGAACTGGCAATTGCCTCCTGCTTGAGATCCCCCATGGCTGAAATTTCCTGCAGACTTAGCTCTCTTGCTGAATTCCCTCTCCTTCTCTCTCTTAGCCGCTCTTCTTCCTTCAACCTGTCTTCGTTCTCTTGAACAAAGGCAACCATCTTAGTGATGGTCATGTCATTATTCTGAGCAGCTATATTAGCATCAGCAAACAAATCATCTGAAAGCCCCAACACAAACCGCCTAACTCTGGCCCTCATATCACGTACCATTTATGGAGCATACTTGGCCAGAGAGACGAACTTGAGGTAGTACTCATTCACACTCATATCATTCTGTCTGAGTCTCTCAAACTCCAAAGACTTAGCTTCCAAAACCTCAATGGGTAGAAAGTGCTCCAGGAACGCATCTGCAAACTCTTTCCAAGTCGTAGGATCCACATCCTCCCCTCGGGACTCTTCCCATGTTTCACACCAAGTGTTGGCAATATCCTTCAGCTGGTACGCAACAAGCTCTGCTGCCTCAGTGTCTGTAGCATGCATCACTCGAAATATCTTCTGAACCTCATCAATGAAGTTCTGCGGATCCTCATCCTTTTTGGAGCCTGTGAAGACGGGAGGTTTCATGTTGAGGAATTCCCAAGACCTGGAACTACCCGTCTCATGAACACCACTGGTCCCCTGCCTTTGAGCCTGGGTAGCAACAATTTGGGTGAGCAACTGGATAGCTCCCCTGACATCCATGTCTGAAGCACTGGGCACTGAACCCGGTGCAACCCCCTGGGCCGGAGTGTCCTCCTCCTGAGCAGCATTAGCTGTGGCCCCCTGGCAAGTAGCTGAGGCCATCCTGGTGTACTTTCATTTTGCAGGCATTTTTCTGAAATACGCAATTCGCACGGGTTAGAAAGCTTCCTGAAAGCATAGCTCTAACTGCACGATGTAGAGTATGAAAGAAATGGAACAATCCTAGATGTCTTGGTGGTCAACTGTTTACATGTGTGGCGCGCACACACACATAAAAGAGACCCCACTGGACACGACTTCATAGACTCCCTAGGACTCTTGAACCTAGGGCTCTGATACCAAACTTTGTCACGCCCCGAACTATGGCCTGGGCGTAACACGGCACTCGGTGCCTGACTGCATGCGACCGAGCGAACCAACTGTATGGCTGGATCAACATGTGGTATAACTATGAGCTAGAGGTAAATGTAAATCATGATAGTCTGCTAAAAAGTCTGACTGAAATATCATAGATGCGAAAAAATACTGAAAGGTCTGCAAGTATAAACAAGTAGCCGACAAGGCTAACACATGAAAGCCTGCTAATATCTGGCTGACTGGGTTATAGTCTACGAAGCCTCTAAAGAATACTGAAAACGCTAACTTTTTATTGGGACAAGGTCCCCGGTATACCTTATTAACTGAAATACTATAATGACTAAAACAAAAGAGAGATAAGGCCCCGAAAGACTAGGGCTCACCAATAGCTGATACGAGATGTCCTAGCAAGCTGAATCGTCGACCTGTAAATCGTTACCTGCATCGCGAGATACAGGCCCCGGGCAAAAGGGGCGTCAGTACATTTGAATTGTACTGGTATGTAAAATAGCTGAACAAAAGAACTGTAAATACTGAAATTGAAACTGAACTGCTAGTTGATAAACTGATAACTGAAGAAGGAAGTAAGGATGTGAATACTCCCTCTTCTGAATGATGAACAACCTGTTTAACTGAATAATAAAATGCGGCCTAGGCCCAATATATATATATATATATATATATATATATATATATATATACATATATATATATATATATACATATATATATATGTGCACAACTGCGGCTCGGGCCCAAGTATACGTATACATAACTGCCGCCTCAGGCCCCAAAGATGCATAAAAGCATAAACTGCGCCAGGCCCAAATACAGGTGTTCAACATTCAAGAATATAAAATCAGGAACTGAGAATCATATTACAATACATGATACTGAAATAATGAGCCATACTGGGTTACATGATACTGAAATAGTGAATAGGATTAAACTGGGATGAGTATTCATAACAAGTTGATTTGTCATAACTGAAACTCATAGAATATCGAATGATTATGAGACTATGCCATCTAGAGAATAGAAGTCCTACTACTGATCAGGGATCTAAGGCATAGTTCCTTTATGAGGAGACTGGTAATGATCATAATGAATGGGACGTAGGGAGAATCATAGACATTCCCAAACGTAAAGAGTTAGCCTTACATACCTTAACTTCCTGCTCTTGAGCGTAATACAACGTTTGTCAATCCTTTCAACTTCAAATCTATAGCCAATACAAGTCAAAGGGGTTCCACATTAGCTATAATGCTCATGTTTTGGTCACTTAAGCATTTTGTCAACACTTGGTAAAAATAAAGCTTCATAGTCCTTATTAAATGGTGTCTCTACAACCAACAACCCATTCTCCTTGTTCCTAGATTAAATTCCAAGGGTTTTTCAAGATGATTACACCAACATTATTCTTCATCACCCATAAGGCAAACAACACTCTTAACCAATAATCAACACTCAACACCCCAACCCTATAATCGTTCATGCTTTTCTATCAACCCCAACAACTCATGTCTTATGAACTAGGATTTATAATCATTAAACCAATGCTAGAATCAATTAGAGGGTGAAGACATTACCTTTTCGAAGTTCAAACCCTTGATTTTCGAGTTCTAGGCTTCCTTCTCTCAACAATGATGTCCCAATCGAATATCTAATGATATGGAGGGTTTAACCATGTTAATAAGAAGTTGGAAAAGTGAAATTAACTTAGAATCACCATTAGAACTTACCTTGGGTGGTGGAAGGACCCTTAAGGAGTTAGGTTTTTGAGAGTTCCCCTTTCTAGAGCAAGTTTTTATGTTTTGGGGCTGTGGGGACGAAATATAGCTTTAAAACGACCCCCCACATGCGAGTTCGCGCACCCGGAGGCTTGTTCGCGCGAGTGTTCGCGCTCAACGGCTGTAACACTGCCTCCTAAGCGCGAGTTCGCGCACCTGGAGGCTTGTTCGCGCGAGTGTTCGCGCATACGCGTACTGTTCCGAAAAACCCACAAAGCTTTTTGCACGGAGATCCGTTCGGGCTCCATAATATATCGTTGGAAAGCTATTTCAAAGGCCTACAACTTGCATGCTTTGCGTTTTCCCCAATTCGTTACACATTTTCACTAAAACTTGATGGAAGAAGACCTTCTGCTACATAGTCGATTTTTGTCAAATCTTATGCACCTCTCTTTCCACTTTGATTTTTGAAACAACTATTTTACCCACAATCATCCCGTTGGGACTTCACATGTTCAAAATATAACCTTACCACTCATTTACCACATTCACACCTAAGCCGAATTTACGGGGTGTTACAATACTAATCCATTATTTATATTGATCTTCCTGAAATGCATTATTTATTGTGTATTTACTATAATTTTTAAGAAATTATAATTTTTAATTGTTTGAAAGTTAAGAGGTTGGAGTTAATTTATATTTCATAGTAATTTTAACAGTATTGTATTATTTATACTTGTAAAACATGTTTAATATTTTATTTTATATGAATTTCTTTAATTCTTTTTGGCTTTCTGGAACTTTTAATGCATCTTTTATATTTTATTGTGTTATAACGCTATATTATTAATTCGTAAATTAAAAAATTAAAGATCCGTGGGACTTACGCCCCATGTCTCAAGGCTTTCGCCTCGTCCCGTATTCAGTAAAAAGCTCCCCTCACGCCCTCGCCTTTTAAAACACTGTTTGTGAGAACTTGTGATAGATCTGGATATATTTTTAAATTAATTACTGCTTCAACTATATGCGATAAATAGGGTGGTATAGCAATAATTTTCCGGTGGTAACATACGACCGGTGGCGTTGACTCGGTTTTCCCCTATATTTATCTCCAAATGCCTACCAATTTCCAACCTTTAATATTCATCTTTTCATTTTTTTTAAATGTTTGGGTTTTCTTTTACTTGCTTCTAGTTTATGTAAGTTGAAAAATGATAAGTTTGGTGTTACAATTTATTACTAAACACTTAGAGCCTGTTTGACCAAACTTCCGGGAGGTCGAAAGTATTTTTTTTCCTCAGAAAAGTACTTTCTATAAAAAAAAATTAAGCTATTTCGCCAAGACAGATAAGTACTTTCGGCTAGCATCAGAAATAGTTTTTTTGTTTTTGGGAAGAAGCAGAAAATTCTAGCTTCTTCCGAGAAGCAGAAGCAGAATAGTAATTTATTCAAGACAAAACTATCTGTACAATAAATTTATATTTTTCAATTATCCCATGCTGATTTAAGTTTTTTTTATTTTATTTTTGTTTCAAGTTTTTATAATTCTTTAAATATAAATATCATATACATGAATTATATTGTAACTTTCCAAATTCATTATAGACTTTTTTTGTTTTTGATATTTTCTTTGTGTAATGTCTTGTAACTTACCAAAATATCTATGTCACGACCCTAACCCCGAACCCGATCGTGATGGCATCGCTCGTGAAGACAAGGCCAGCCAGTATAACCCAATTCATCATTTAAAGCAGTTAAGCAACACAAAATAGTCTAAACATGATTTAATAGTACGGGATAGCGGAAATATAAATAACAATGTGGGAAAATCCAACCCGACAAAGCCCTAACCGGAGTGTCACAAGTCACGAGCATCTATGAACCATAATACTGTCTACTAAGGTCATAAACTACTACAATTGTTTGGAAAGGAACAGAAATGATAGAGAAATAGAGACACGGGGCTGCGGACGTCAACAACTACCTCGTAATCTCCGAATAAGCCCGCTTGGAACTGGAGGAAATCAACACTCCGGAGCGTAACCAGCTATGCCTGAATCTGCACACAGTGTGCAGGGAGTAAAGTGAGTACTCCAACTCAGTGAGTAATGAATATAAATAATGACTGAAAGCAAGAAAACACGTAAAGCATATCGCAGTCTATAATGAAGCAGTAAAATCAATTAATTTCAGTAAAACTAGTAAAAATCAAGGAAATGCTCTTTTAAACCAATAAAACAAGTAATTGACAGTTAATTATGATAACATAAACAAATAGGAATTTGCCCCACGGGCACAGTAACACCACATCCGCCCCTCGGGCAACATCTCACAACAGTAACAACTCCTTGGGATCAAACTCACATCACAATGGGTACCCGCGCTCACTGGGGGTGTGCAGACTCCTAGAGGGGCCCCTTACGGCCCAAGCACAATAAC